GATGGGGGGATGGGGGGGTGTGGGGGTGTTGGCTGTAACAATGTAACAATTATAACAAGAAAGAAGAAGAGAGAGAGAGGCCTCAGTAGAAGAGGAGGAGGAAGAAAGAAAACAGAGTTACTTAATTAAGGAGAGCTTATATGCCAAAAGGGCTGATCTGAGAATTTGAGATAGACATTTTAGTACCATAAGCCGGAGATTTGGTCCTGCTGTTAGGCAGGGCTTGGGTTTACAAACGGGGCTTCTGAATACCTAAACCTTGGCCGCTGCTGCGGAGATGTTTGGAAGGTGTCCCGGACTACCCTGCCAAACACCGGAAAGGGTTCAGGAAGATGGGGATGTCTCTTTCAAATTCCTGATCCCCGGAATCCCCAAACGGGGAGAAGACAAGAGAGTAGGGACATCTCCTCTACGCTCAAGTCCTCGAGATGAGGCCGTGGGCCCCAGGCCTACAGCGAGAAGCAAGAAGGAGTCCCTGACGCAGCTGCGGTTATGAGCAGGGAGTCCACGAGAATACGAGAGGGTTCAGGAAGGTGGGGACATCTCCCTCAAATTCCTGAACCCCGGAATCCCCTCATGGGGAGAAGACAAGAGCGTAGGGACGTCTCCTCTATGCTCAGGTCCTCGAGACGAGACCGGGGCCCCGGGCCCACGGTGAGAAACGAGAAGCAGTCCCTGACGCAGCTGCGATAGCGAGCAGGGAGTCCACGAGGCAGGCAGCGGGAGAGGTTGTGGGTAACAGAAGTCTTACCTTGCGGTGGAGTGGTTCCCTGGTCCGGCTCTGGGTGGAGGAGCCAGTTTCCCCAAGGAGGGGTTGTACAACTTCTTCCCGGGTTTTGGCACCACTTGTAAAGTTTATTCTCTGTAGGTTTATTGCCGAGTTAAAAACGAGGAAACTGAGGCCAGCACAAGAAAATTAGATGCCAATTTATTCAGCTCCCTGGTGAGGTTCTGTGATCCCGGGGAAAGGGGCCAGGGGAGTCGCGCCTGACTCCTCTCAGGAGTGGGGTTTTATAGGGAGTGAAGGCGTATGATTGGATTAGGAGAAACAGGATGTGGACGAGCTGAGCTGCTATTGGTAGGTAGGTGGGATTTCCGGTGAGCGGGCTAAGTGCTGAGTGCAGAGGGGATTTCCAAGGTGGGCTAGGTGCTGAGTGCAGAGGGGATTTCCAAGGCGGAGCTAGATGATGGGCATATTCTGATAATGTAATTTTCAAGCAGGGAGGGAGATGGGTGTGTCCGAACTCCTGGCGAGGCAACCAGCCTTACACTTTGATAGAGGTAACATATAGATAACATGAAATAAACTCTCTTGACCATTTATCAGTGTACAATTCAGTGGCGTTAAGTGCATTTACACTGTTGAGCAACCAACCCCGCCATCTGTCTTGAGAGCCTTTTCGTCATCCCATACTGAAGCTAAGCACCAATTAAACAATAACTCCCCATTTCTCTCTTTTCCCAGCCCCTGGTCATCTCTATTCTATCTTCTGTCCCTATTTCGAATATTCTAGGTACCTCGTATAAGAGGAATCACACAATATCTGTTCTTTAGTGTCTGGCTTATTTTACTCAGCATAAGATCTTCAAGATTCATTCAGGTTGTAGCATGTCTCAGAATTTCATTCCTTTTCAAGGTTAAGTCATATTTTGTTGTATGAATATACTGCGTCTGGACACGCAGGCTGTTTCCACTTTCTGGCTATGGTGAATAATGGTGCCATGTGCATGGTGTACAAATAGCTATTCAAGTCCCTGCTTTTAATTCTTCTGGAAACACAATTCTAGAAGTGGAATTGCTGTATCGGATGGTAATTCTATGTTGAATTTTTTGAGGACTTGCTAAATTGTTTTCAATAATGACTGCACTATTCCTCCAGCCATGTACAGGGGTCCCGATTTCTCCATATCCTCACCCAACACCTATTGTTTTCTGTTGGGATTCTGTTGTTTTTATTTTATTTATTTATTTATTTATTTTTGAGATGGAATCTTGCTCTGTCACCCAGACTAGAGTGCAGTGGTGCAATCTTGGCTCACTGCAACTTCTGCCTCCTGGGTTCAATCAGTTCTCCTGCCTCAGCCTCCTGAGTAGCTGGGATTACAGGCACCTGCCACCACGCCTGGCTAATTTTTGTATTTTTAGTATAGACAAGGTTTTGCCATGTTGGCCAGACTGGTCTCAAACTCCTGACATCAGGTAATCCGCCTGCCTCAGCCTCCCAAAGTGCTGGGATTACAGGTGTGAGCCCCCTTGCCCAGCTTGTTATTTTTATAATAGCCATCCTAATGGGTGTGAAGTGGTAACTCATTGTGGTTTTGATTAGCATTCCTCTGGTGGTGAGTTGATATTGAGCAATATTTTCATGTGCTTATGGGCCATTTGTATGTTTTCTTAGAGAAATGTCTATTCGTGTTCTTTGACGATTTTTTAATTGGTCTGGTTTTTTGTTGCTGAGTTTCAGGAGTTCATTATATATTCTGGGTATCAATTTCTTATTAGATATGTGATTTGCAAATGTTTTCTCCCATTTTGTGGGTTGTCTTTTTATTCTGCTGGTAGTGTCCTTTGATGCATGAAAGTTTTTAATTTTGATGATGATCGTGTCTATTTTTTTTCTTGCTGTCTATGCCTCAGTTCTTAATAAAGCTCCATCCCATTGTTGTTACCCACCTCAGTTTACAACCTTAGTCCAGCCTCGTGTTTCCACATCTCCAAGCTCAACCTTTAAAAAAAAAATCAATCAGCCACTCTCAAAGACAAATGTAACCATTTCACATCTTCATTTATTTATTTAGCTACATTTACATAGCACCAGGTACTCTACTAGGTGAGGAAGACGGGATTGTGAATAAGAAAAGCCCCAGCCCTCAGGAAGCTTCTGTCCTGGTGATGGAGACAGCCAATTAGCAGATAAATGCAGCCAAGAAAATGGTTTTGAAGTATTTCTGATGGGCCAGACACAGTGGCTCACACCTGTAATCCCAGCACTTCGGGAGGTCAAGGCGGGAGGATCACCTAAGGTCAGGAGTTTAAGACCAGCCTGGCCAACATGGTGAAACCCCACCTCTACTAAAAATACAAAAATTAGCCAAACCTGGTGGCATGTGCCTGTAATCCTAGCTACTCGGGAAGCTGAGGCAGGAGAATCACCTGAACCTGTGAGGCGGAGGTAGCAGTGAGTCAAGATCATGCCACTGCACTTCAGCCTGGGCAACAGAGGGAGACATTTTCTCAAAAAAAAAAAAAAAGAAAATTCTGATGTGTCTTCCTTTTCAATAATTTGCCTCTCCCTACTCTCTTTTCTTTTGCAGTATTCCATCATTAAGCCTGAACCATGAAGCCGATAGCCTAGGGAAGGAGAGAGAGAAACTGCCCAGAACCAAGAAGTTCACTGCGAAAGGAAGATGTGCTATGAAGGGGGATCCTTCCAGACAGGAGGAGGAAATAGCACTTCAGGGAGAAGGAAGAGGCCAGGAGTCTGGACAAAGGCCTCTTTGCTAAAGGTGGTGGCAAAGCGCTCTGCTGTCACCAGCAGCAGCAGTCGGCTTCCTGGGGCAGCCAGGCTCACCTTGCTGCAGATGGGACCAACGAAGACCGAAGGGTGGCATTGAGAAACTCCCCTCTGGCCCCTTCTTCCCCTCCAGTCCTGCTCCCGATCACTCAGATGTGCGTGCTTTACCCTTGTGTCCAGATGCCAGTTGAAAAGAAAGATAAGAACAGGAGAATGGGGAAGAAAACTCTGAATAACTATTTTTCTTTTTTTTTTTTGAGACAGTCTCACTGTGTTGCCAGGTGCCAGACTGGAGTACAGTGGCACAATCCCGGCTCACTGCAACCTCCACCTCCCGGGTTCAAGCAATTCTCCTGCCTCAGCCTCCTGAGTAGCTGGGACTACAGGTGCACGCCACCACGCCCAGCTAATTTTTGTATTTTTAGTAGAGACGGGGTTTCACCATGTTGGCCAGGATGGTCTGGATCTCTTGACCTCGTGATCTGCCCGCCTCAGCCTCCCAAAGTGCTGGGATTACAGGCTTGAGCCACCGCACCCGGCCAACTATTTTTCTTAAAGTAACCACACTCTGAACAGAACAGTGAATGAGATAATATTTAAGTTGAGCTGAAAGACATCTATGAAATTGAACCCAATATCCTGGCCTGGGAGAGAGTCAGAAGAGGACATGGAGGACAAAGTTGAATTCAGTTACAGTTCAGTTATGGGAACTGAAACGTAATGACTTTTTACTTTCCCCACAGAAACAATTAAGATCATTATTGCTGGTGGCTAGTGCTATCTATAGCAAGGAGATGGACGGGCTGCTGTGACAGACAGGACTGAGGAAGCCAATTTCAAGTCACGTCACAGCCACGGAGGGCCGCTTGGAGGAGGTGACCCTTGGCTGAGCCTCGCAGGATAAGAAGTAGCCCGGCGGGAGCCAAGGTGAGAGTTCTGGGGAGGGGAATTGGTGTTGGGAGATTGCACAGGAAATGACAGTGGCAATAGGATGCAATGATCCAGGAGAGGGCATTAGAACCTTCATAGTCTTCCAACATGATTATAACCCTGCACTGCTCCACATTTTTGAATGATTTCTCATTATGTTCTAAAATAAAGTTCAGATTCATCAGCTCTGAGCCCAGGGCCCTTCTCTCCTGGCTTCTTGGACCTCATACCACTGGGCCTCGTTCCCCATGGATCAGCACACTTCCCCACAAGCCCCTGCAGACACTTTGTTCTTCCCTCCACTCTGCCTTTCCTTCACCTGGGACGCTGGGCTCCCACTTCCCGGCCTGCCTAATCCCCTCCCTTTCCTGTGTTTAAAGACCCAGCTCCTGCCATTTCCTCCAAGAAACTTCTCTGACCTCCCCAGGTTGAGGGGATCACCCCTCCGTTGTGCCCCCACCATTCTTCCTGGGAACAGCCCCTGTTCCCTCTGCTGTGCCTGTTTGCCTGTCTTTCTCCCCATGTGACTGCCTGCTTCTTGGGGGCAGGGACTGAGTTGTATTCATTTTTGCACTCTCCGTGTTTTTCTGGTAGGTGGTTGTATATACACTGACATTTCCACAGCCCTTTTCTGGCTCCCAGTTCTCTCTCTTGAGCTTTAGACCCATACGTCTTCCTGCCTCCCAGATACATTCGTGCAATTGGCTTTCAGCAGTGGTTCTGGGGCACAGGTGTGCATCACGATCACCTGGAGACCGTTCACACTGCTGCTGCTGCAAGAGACAGCTTTGTGCACCTCTTTTCAACTCCCCGTTTAGCGATGCATGTTTAGGGATGCCAGATTGGTAGTTTGAAATCAGCCATGGTGGGATTGGCACCCCAGGAATTAGAAAACACCACCCATCAGGGCTTCTCCTATCCCTGGAGGGCCAGTTGCTAAGCATTTGGCAGGACACCGCTTGCCGGAGGGCTAGACAGTTTATTAAAACCCAGATTCTGCTGGGTGTGGTAGCTCACGTCTGTAATCCCAGTACTTTGGGAGGACGAGGTGGGTGGATCACAAGGTCAAAAGATGGAGACCATTCTGGCCAACCTGGTGAAACCCATCTCTACTAAAAATACAAAAATTAGCTGAGTGTGGTGGTGCATGCCTGTAGTCCCAGCTACTTGGGTGGCTGAGGCAGGAGAATCTCTTGAACTCAGGAGACGGAGGTTGCAGTGAGCTGAGACCACGCCACTGCACTCCAGCCTGGCGACAGAGTGAGACTCCGTCTCAACAAACAAACAAGCAAACAAAAAGAAAACAAAACTCAGATTCCTGGGCCCACCCACAGAGCTCCTGACTTGGCAGAGCCTGAGAATGTACATTTCTAACAAGTTCCCAGTGTTGCTGATGCTGTTGGTCTGGGCTCCACTGTCTGAGAACCACTGGCCTGCAGGCACCTCAAAACTATGTCCAAACTTAAAGCCATCATCTTTCCCTCAAACCCACTCCTCCCCTGTGTTTTATGTTGCAGAGAATGGCAGCACCATCTCCCCACTTCCGAAGTCAGAAACAGGGGAATCCGCTTGAAGCCTTGGCCTCTCTGAGCCTCTGCGGCTCAGTGATCATCAGGTCCCTGCAACCGTCCTGCATGAACCTTCCTCTCATCCTTCATCTTCTGCCCAGCCCCAGTGCCTGGGCCCTACCTACTGGTGCTTTATCTGTCTCCTTATCAGCAGTCCTGCACCAGCCTCCTAGGTGGACACGGAGCTTTCATCCTTGTCCCCACGGTCCCTTCTCTGCAGCACTGCCAGGACGGTTTTTGTGAAGTATCAGTCCAATCATGTTATACCCAGCCTGAACAATGTCAGCGGCTCCCCATTCGTTTTCTTTAGGACTTCTGTCTGGAGCTCATTCCTTTCTCCATCATCAGCACTGGCTTAACTGTCCCCCTCCTAGAAACTGTTCTTTTTTTTTTTGAGACGGAGTCTTCTGTGGCCCAGGCTGGAGTGCAGTGACATGATAGCTCACTGCAACCTCTGCATCCCAGGTTCAAATGATTCTCCTGCCTCAGCTCCCCCTCCTTGAGTAGCTGGGATTACACATCACCATGCCTGGCTACTTTTTGTATTTTTTCACAGAGACAGAGTTTCACCATGTTAGCCAGGCTGGTCTCGAACTGCTGACCTCAAGTGATCCACCTGCCTTGGCTTCCCAAAGTGCTGGGATTACAGGTGTAGCCACTGCACCCGGCCCTAGAAACCGTTCTTAGCCCTCTTCCTTTCCCAGGCTGTGCTGGGGTCTTTCCTGGGGTACAGCCATTTACCCCAGTCTCCGGATTGCCTCTTTCCCTGCCTGCCTTGTGCCTTTCACTGCAAACTCATGAGGGAGGAACTGAGTTCATTAGTTATTTTTTAAATCCCTTTTTTTCTATGCTTACCACGGTGTCTGGCACACAGCAGGCCCTTGTCTTCGCTCAAGTTACCCCAGAAGAAAACTCTAAGAATTCAAGTGCAAGTCACTTATTTGGGAGGTAACCTGAAGAGACACCAGTGGGGGAAGTGGAGAAAGCCAGTGAAAGATGTCCTATCAGGCTCGCTGCCCCCGGGGACCAACAGAAACTCACCCTTGCGTTGGGAGGCCTCTGGGATCTTCATCAGAACCCAGGAAGATCCACGTCTGTGATCTTCCTCAAGGGGGTACCTATCCACTGTTAAAGCAAACTAACCGTGGCCTGAGAAGGACTCCTTACTTCTATATTTGAGTCCTCGTGGACAAACTGTAACATAGCTTAATAGGCAGACAAGATTGAAACCCTAGCTTAGAAGTATGCACCTGTAACAATAGCTGAGTCTCAGCCAATCCCAGCAGCCATACCTCAACCACTCACGGACTGTCGAGTATTCAAACTGTGTTCGGATAAGGCAAATGCCGTAACCAATCCACCTGTTTCTGTACCTCACTTCTGATTTCTGTACATCGCTTCCCTTTTTTGGTCTATAAATTTGTTCTGACCATGAGGCACCCCTGGAGTCTCTCTGAATCTGCTGTGATTCTGGGGCTGCCAGATTCGTGCATCGTTCACTGCTCAAAGTCCTTTAGATGTAATTTGGCTGAAGTTTTTACTTTAACACCACCAACACCCATCTGTTGGTGAGACTGACGGGTGCTTCTGAGGGCACCAACTCTCCAGGACTGCCCACCTGTGCAAAGGCCAAATGCATTGCCACAGCCAGAACGAAGCCCGAAGTTCCTGTCCGCGTGGCCTCGTCTTGGGCTCGTAGAAGTGGATGCCGAGGGATGCGGGCAAGCTCCGCTGGCTCTGGGACAGCTCCCCGTGTTTGATAAGTAGGTCCGAAGGAAAGGGCGTCCTGGGCCGAGCTGACAGCACATTCCAAAGCCCTGAGGCTGGAAGGAGAAGCCTGGGGAGCAGTAAGTAGCTCTCAAAGAAGGTGGCGAGCAGAGGTCTCCTGAATGGGATGATCCAGGGATGAGTCTGGGTGGTGGAGCTCCTGGTTCAGGGTCACACTATCCCACGGGACTTTCTGATGATGGAAATGTTTCATATCCACCCTGGCCAATACAGGAGCCACTGTGGCTGCCGAGTGCCGGAAATGTGGTGAGTTCCGTGAGGAACTGAATTTTACATTTTATTCAATGTTAATGAATTTATGTGTAAATGTCCGCCGGCAGATGTGGTTAGTGGCAGGTATGGTTACTGTACTGGACAGGGCAGGTCTAGGGGCTCCGTCCACCTCTCCTTTTGCCTCTCTGTCCTGTGCAACTAGAGCGATCGTGAACTTCCCTGACAGCGGGCATCACGGTGCCCAGAAACACTGCGCCTGGAATGCTACGGAGTCCTCCCCTTAGTGGCTGACTTTGGTCCTCAGAGCCTCAGCCTTGTGTCCAGCTGCCACCTGCAGGATTTGGAGAGCAATGTGCAGAAGGTGTATTGATCCCTTGTCCCTGAG